CCCCCCCCCCCCCCCGCAACATACACACCCCCTCGCTGGACGCGCAGGCTCACGACAGCCAGGCCTGCCTCACCGCTGCCTCTGCAACTCCTGTGTCAGCAGAAACCAAAGCAGAAGGGGGCCTGGGTTTTGTCAGGGCTGCGTGGCATTTATTTTCAAGGACGGTTTGGCCGTCTCTCCAGAGTTAGACAGGAGATCGTTAACAGGCCTGGAACACGCCAGACCCTGTACTCCTTCTGTGAGCGGGGGCTTCTGTTCCCACAGCTGAAGCTAACGTGTGGACCCACACGGGGCCAGCATTCTCTCAACCCCACCAGGGGGTCCCATTATCACCAGTCCCATTTTACAGTTGGGAAGATCGAGGCTCTGTCCACAAGTGTGACAGAGGAGAGCTGTGCATGCAATAGCAGGTGGGCTGAGTGGCATCCTGGAAGGCTTCCCAGAGGAAGTGGCACCTGAGCTTGGATCCGCAGGAGGGTGAGTGGTTGACTCGGAAAAATAGCCCTCCAGAGTGAAGCCACCCAGCCCAGGCCACACGGCACGTAACTGGGGCATCACGATGCCCAGCCCTGAGCAGTTCTGGGTAAACAGGTACCACAGCGTGCGGAGGTGTGGCGGTCTACACCCCAACTTGCTGTCAGCCACCACTGGGGGAGCTCCATGTTGAAAGTAGGGCCCACTGTTCAGCAGAGGTGATGGGACTCGTGGAGGCGAAGGCTGGGGGACTCATGGGGCCTTGAGCTGCCACTTTGGACAGACATCTGCCTGGTTCGCAGGTGGGCACATGGCGGGGTGTGTGGGGCCGGGGCAAGTCCTTACCCATCCACACCTCTCCGAAGCAGCCCTGGCCCAGCTTGACCTCCAGCCGCAGCGACTCCCGGGGGATCTCCCAGGCGTCCTTGGCCAGGCCCTGAGTCTGTGGCTTGGACGTGGGGCACACAGTGGTGAGGCGGTGGCACAGGCCGTCAGCGTGTTCTGAAGACAGAGGCAGGGAGGTGGAGTTCAGGCCCGGCGTCCGTGCTGGGGTCTCCGTGTCCCGCGGTGTGTGTGTGTGTAGACTTACACACTGTATGCACACAGGCTTCGGGGAGGCACAGGACACCCCCAAGGCCAGGCGTCCATACCTGTGTGTACACAACCGTCCCCAACACAGGCCCACACCGCCTCATGCATCTGCTCCCTGAGTCATTCATTCATTCATTCATCAGACTTTAAGCGGGGGCTACCTAGGCAGGTGCCAGGGACCCAGTGGAAACCTGCCCTCAGGGAGTGCATAGTCCAGGATGACACCCAACTTCCCTTAATCACCTCCAGGGACCACGAGTGTGACAGAGGAGAGCTGTGCATGCAACAGCAGGTGGGCTGGGTGGCATCCTGGAAGGCTTCCCAGAGGAAGCGGCACCTGAGCTTGGATCCACAGGAGAGTGAGTGGTTGACTCAGGAAAATAGCCCCCCAGGCAGAGGGCACGCTGCCTCATGCATGTGCAAAGGCCCTGAGGGAGAAATAAGCCCCTGGGTTGGAGGAACTGAAAGGAGGCCAGGGGGCTGCTAGAGAGTGACTGGGGGAAGGAGGGCCCCAGGTAAGGCAGGGAGGCCAGCCAGGTTTAGACTACCCAAGGCCTCAGAGGCCACATGGGGGTCTTTATCCTAAAATTCCAAGGTAACCCCTGGAGGGTTTTGATCTGGGGGAACGGGGTTCAGAATGAAACCTACAGTGGTGGCCAAGGGGACAGAGCCTAGCCAACAGAGGAGGAGTAGCGTGCGCTCTCAGGAAAGGCCACACCTGTACGCCCAGGCCACGGCCACGTGCCACAGGCCCACAGACACCCACAGAGAGCTGTCCACATGGGAGCACCCAGGCCATGACGCCTCAGTCCAGCCGGGCAGCCCTGAACATCCAGATGGATCGGCCACACTCCCGCACACTCGGCCTGGCCCACGCTCACGACCTGTGCACGTGAGCTCCCCGCCCGCGCTCTCTCTCCCGCTCTCTGCTACAATCCAGTCGATACAGCCACCCCCTCCTTGTCTCCCGGTAACCAGTTCTAACCGGTCCTAAGGCTGCAGGGACAAATGACACCGGCCTATGCCCCCTCCTTCCCAGCTCACTCCTCCAGGCAGCCCCCTCCTCACCAGGCAGCTGCAGAGGAGGAGAGAGGACAGAGGGGCAGGTTGGGGTGGGGGGAGGGAAGAGGGGAAAAAGGGAAGACAGGGCACAGGGAGAAGGGAAAAAGAGGTGCTGGGAGGAGGGAGAAAGGGGAAAGGAAGCGGGGGGAGGGGAACGGGAGCCCGCACCCTCAGGGTGACAGAAGTCCTGGCCCTTCTTGGCCCCAAAGCCCCCCTCCTCAGGGTCTGCAGCTCATAGGATAGGCGGAGACCCCCGCATGCTCTCCGAGGGCCTACTCCCGCCTGCACCCAGCTGGCCGCCCGGGACGCCTGCCCGGCACTCACTGGAGTAGTAGGCCACGAGCTGCTGCAGGCTGTTGAACTGGGTGCGGGAGGTGATGTAGAAGCCGCCGCTGTCCAGCTTGCGGATCTTGTAGTGTTTCACGTTGAGGCCCTTGGCGTTGTCGAAGTCAGACACTGAGAGGCAGTAGGCGCCTGCAGGGCAGGCCAAAGAGGAGCCGTGACCACCATGCCGGCCCACCGACGGGCCACGGCACCGAGCACACCTACCCAACACGGGACAGAAGGGAGGCACAGGCAGAGCCAGGTCTGGTCCAGCCTGTCTCTGAGCACCCAGTCTGGGGTGGCCACAGGGGCAGAGCCAAATGACAAAGGGGCACCTGACCGGAGAGCCTTTCCATGAACCCTGGGCCCTAGCAAGACCTCTGAAGCCCAGGTGTGCATCCCAACTGTGTGACCTGAGCAAGTGGCTAGCCCTCTCTGGGCCTCAGTTTCCTCCGCCGCACAGTGGGGCTGCTTCCCAGGCTGCTGGGGAGATTCAATGAGAATACATATAAGAGGGCCTGACACACAGTAGGTGCTCGATAAATGTTGGCAGGGGGCCTAACAGGAATGGTCCCAAGTGGCCTACCTGCCTCCCTTCTGTGGGTCTGCCCACGGGCACACTGTCCGGGCCCTGCCCCTTCCTGAAGACTCCAGGCTCAGGCAGAAGCCAGTGGTTGGCTGAGGCTGGGGCGATCCTGGGCAGAAGACCACGTACTGGGTGTGGCCTGAAGGCTGCCAAAGCTAAGCTGGGCCAATCCCGATGGCCCCCTCCCTGTTTCCCTTGAGCCTGGAAGAGCTCTGGGCTGGAAAAGTTTCCTTCTGCCCAACAGGCCTGGCTAAGCCTGAGCCTAAGAGATGCCTGGGGTGGCGTCAGGGAACAAGGCTGAGCCCCAGGGGTAGGGGAGGAGGCTGCAGTGGCCAGAGAAAGCCTTTCTCGGGAGGCAGCACACAGGCATCACACTAGAAGCCCAGTCCGCACAGCCCACAAAACCTCTGGACAATCCTCAGGTGAGGGTTACAATCTCCAGTGTAAAGAAGGGAAAATGAGGCCCAGAGAGGGAAAGCAGCTAGCCTCAGGTCACCCAGCAAGTCAGGCACAGAGCTGGGACTTGAACCCATACCTGGGTCTCCAAAGCCTGCCTTGGACAGCCATGACTTTCTACAGATGGCCAGGCCGTGTGCGTATAGAAGCCACAGGCCTGAGTCTAAGGCCAAGCCCTGACCACATGTGCACGCACACAGGCATGCCTGTGTCCAGTGGCTGTATGATCACACAGGTCCACACTCCCTAGGCCCTTGGGCACAAGGACAAACCCATAACAATTCACTCCCACACAGCAACCCACAGACAACTCCACCCCCACGTGTGCACACACATGCCTGGACCCACACAGGGCATGCACAGCCACATGACCTCTCATAAATGCACACACATGACACGGATGCTCTGCTTTCCCATCTCCCACTGAGCCCCAGGCCCACAGGAAGCGGGAGCTTCATAGCTATGGTAATGGAGAGTCTGCAACCCACGTGCGGAGGGGCTGGAGAAAAAGGGGTGATCATTCTCTGGTGGGGAGGAAGAACAGGAGAGGAAGAGAGGCCAGGACTGTTTGGGGGAAGGGCAAAGCCAGGTCCCAACACCCAGTCCAGCCCCTGAGGCCCCTAGAGAAGGGGAAGGAGAGGGGCCCATTGCATCAGTACCCTCCCTGGGAACAGCCTTTTGCTCTGTGACCCTCAGACTCCCTGACAACCTGTGCCCATTCCTCACCTAAGGAACCTGAGGCCAGAGAGGCTGGCCTCTTTTGCTGCACCTGTTGCCTCATCTTTTGCTGCATCTCTGGTCAACCCAGAGTGACTCAGTGTTCCTCAATTGGACCTCCCTGCCTTTGATCCTGTCTTTTTCTCTAGCTGGAGGGCTCTTCCCACCCCACTCCATATACCAAACTCCTATTCATTCTACAATACCCAGCTCAAATAACCCACAAAAGGCTCAGTTCCCACTGGTCAGCAGAAGCACTCATACCTTTCGTGGTCTCGCTTTCTCGCACTAGGAAGGTACCTCTTGGGTTCTCCGCATTGAGCAGTAACCGCTCTGACTCCCGTCTGGTGATCTTGCCAAAGTACCACCTGGGGAGGGAGGGAGGGAGGAGGATGGTGCTGGTGGTCCAGGCTTCCACCCACCCACAGTGCCTCTTCCTGGGATGTGGCTGGGGCCCTGGGCAGCCAGACCTCCCACTCTAGCCCAGGAGAGAAGCTCTGAACTGGCAGCGATGGTAAGCAAGCAGGAGACCAGAGTCGATACTCACTCCTCGGCCTGGATGGAGTCGGAGGGCGCGACATAGTTGCTGGGGATATAGCCCGTCTGTCCTGTGCTGAGTGAGTGGGCCAGCCACCAGTCTCCCTCTCTGAGCAGGGGGAGAGGGAGGGAGCAAAGGAGAAGGGAACCATCAGCAATGGAGCCCGATGCCTGCAATCTTTATAGGTGCTGTGCTGGGGGCTCTTGAGGCTGAGTGAGGTGCAGGGAACAGTGAGATCAGGCCTCTCACAGCTGTGAGGCCGAGGCGGCCTGGGACTCTTCCCCTCCCTACCCCAGATGCCTCTTGGCCAAAGCTCACTCAGATGACAAGGCCCGAATTCATGGGGCAGAGTCCTGGGACAGGAAGTGATCTGCTTTCCTTCAGATAGAACAAGCAGTCTCAAGATGCCAAGAGCCGCCTTGGGATTGAGGGAGGGAGTTCCCTGTCTTTGGGGAGCAAGCAAGTTGTAACAGGAGAAGATTCCTCCTGAGATGGATGTCAAATCAGACCTTCAAAGCCTCCCCAAGTCCTGAGATTTGGAAGCCCAAGCCTGGGAGCTGGTAAGACCTGAGTGGAGGCAAGGGGTGGCTCTTTGGGGGCTTGGTGACAATCCAGGCGCCAACCCTGCAAACTAGAGCAATGCTTGCCTTTGTCACACATCATGGGTCACACCCACAGGGCTCCTTGACTGAAAACTACAGGCCTCTTCCTGCAGCCTACCCATCTATGGGGGAAACTGAGGCCAGAGGGGGCTGGGACTTGCCCAAAGTCACACAGTGAGTCATGTCAGAGGGAGCTGAGGTAGCAGAGCCCCAGTACCCAGGGCCCTCTACACTAATTGCCCCATGAGGAGGAGGTGATGGGGACAGGGTGATGGGCAGCAAGAGCCCCCGGCAGGGCGGGTCCCCTGGGTCTGGGTGGGAGTGGGGAGGGGGCACAAGTACCTTTGCAGCCATCTGAATGTGAACCAGGTCTGGCTGGAGCGGGGGTCCAGAGACACAGAGGAGGGAGGAGAAAGCGAGAGCCCAACAGGAAAGAAGAGGCAGAAATGGGGGTGGTGAGAGAGAGAGAGGCAGAAAGAGCAAGGGAGAGAGCTGAGCGCCAGGCGGTGCTGGGGACGGGGGAGGGGGGACAAGGCGGGGCAGCCACTAGGGCCTCGCATCCAAAGCAATCAAAGGGGACAGGGAGAGGGTCTATGGGGAGGGAGGAGAGGCCAATGGGAAGGGCTGCCTGGGAAATAGGGTCCAGCCCCCTCCCGTTCCCACTGTGCAGATGGGAAGACTGAGGCTAGAGAAGCAAAGGCCTCTGCTCAAGGTCACGTCACGCAGCCAGGCCCAGGTTCCTAACTCCCAGATGAGAAGGAAGCCTTCCCTACAGGGTGCAGCAGGGCTTGATACCTTGCTGAGCTTCTCAATCCAAGGCTGCCTTTGACCTCATCACAACCCTGAGAAGACACACAGCAAGCAGGATGTGCTCCCCCACTCCCTATCACCGGGACACAAAGAGAGAAAGGCCCTTGTCCACAGCCACAGTCTGGACTTGAACCTGGATCCCTGGCTCCTGGTTTTTCTGAGCTGCCTCTGACCCATATTCTTCAGCCCATTTTGAAGATGGAGAAGTTGAGGCCGGGACAGAGTGGGGCTGGGGGAGCTCTCTGAGAACAGGTGAGTACAGGTGAGCATCCCAGAGCCAGGGGCCCAGCCAGGTGGGCCAAGGCTCAACCAGAGAGTGTGGTGGGTCCCTTCTGGATGGAGTGAGGTGAAGAGAGAGAGATTGGGGCTGTGCGGTCTGACTTGGCTGTGAGATCACCGCACGCATGCTCAGGCAGGGGCACAAGCTCACGTGGGGGTCTCTGCGGGAGAGGGAGGGCCCTGGAGTGAGAGGGCGAGGCCCGCCTCAAGGAAAGAGCCTAAAGATGCCCAGGCCCTCCAACTACCTCTCTGTGTGCACCCACATGGGGTGGGGGATCCACACTTGTCTGTCCCATTTGACCCTCAAGGCCACCCTGCTAAGAAGGAAGGCAGGCCTCAGCCCCCCAGATGATGAAACTATGGCTCAGAGATGTCTAGGGACCAGCCCAAGGACACACAGCACCACCCAGGCTGGAGTAACCCAGCACTTTCTTTGTAGAGTTGGGGAAACTGAGGCACAGAGCGGGGCAGAGACTTCCCAAGGCTACACAGCAAGGACTCATATCACAGGGAAAAGCTGAGATCTTCCAGTCCCAAGTCTTCATTTCACCAAGGGGGGAAATAAGTCATAGAGAAGGGTGGTGATTTGCCCAAAGCCACACAGCGAATCAACAGCAGAGCAAGGGTGAGAACCAGGGCCCCTGTGTGCCCACAGCCAGACACAGCAGGCCTCCGGGACCCCTGCACCCTCCCCAGGCCTCTCAGAGGCTCAGAGACCCTCAGGGAAACCAGGGGAAGAGGGAGGAGGAGGCAGCAGGACTGGGCCGAGGTCTAGGTCAGAGACCACAAAATGAGGCAGATTGACAAAGCCAGAGTGTGCAAGTTGGCTGGCCTCCGGCAAGCCCCCAGCCACCCACTCACAGTGGAAGGCCGGCAGGAGCTTATGTCCAGGGGCCAACCAAGCAGGGACCCAGAAGCAAGGGTGAGGGTTCAGCTCTGCTGACACTACCCAGACTTCTTCCAGCAGAGCCTCCACCCGCCTAACCTCAGCCCATGTGTGAGTTTGGGCTCACAGTCCAGTTTGGGGGTTTTATTTCACAAGGGCAGGGATGGAGGTGCACTGCAATCTCACTAAGGATCCAAGGTCCACCTTCAGCCTGGCCCCAGCTCGAGAGGTACCTCAGAGCCTGAGCACCAGAATCAGAGCATCCTGGCGCCAGCCCAGCTCACCACTTGCAGGCTGCATTACCTTGGTCCTCATCTGCAGTAAGGGGATACTCATGCCTCCCTCTGAGGATGTAAAATACCGGCACAGGGCCTGGCACATAGTAGGTGCTCAGCGTGCATGAGCTGTTAGTATCTTGATTTGGCTAAAAAAAGAAAAGCAATTAAATCTGCAACTCTGTGGTACTCCTCCCCACTCTCCAAAATGTTTTTAAAAACCAAAGCAGCTCAGTTCCAGTCTCCGATAAGGATTTGCTGTGTGACCTTGGGCAAGTACCCTATCCTCTCTGGGTCTTAGTTTCCTCATCTGTAAAAAGGAGATAATATTCAGAAAATCTCCCGTGCAGGCAAAGTGTGTAAATCAGTCAGCATCAAGCCAGGCTTTGGGTAAGCTGATTACTGTGATTATCATCTGAGCCTCAGTTTGCCCACCTGTGAAATGGAGCTATCAAGCCCCATCTTCCCATGCCAATGGCCTGGGAGGCTCAAACCTGCCTCAGGTGGCTGTGAGCTGTCTCAGCCAAGGACCAGGGACTGCCCTCACAATGAGGGGCCCCATAGCTTCCCAGATCAGTCCAGTCTGGTGGGGATACCGATCTGCACCCGGCTCAGAAGTAACAGCGGTGTAAACCTAACAGGTTGAGCAGATGTACTGCATCTGGCACCTTCCCTAGGGCCTGGTTCCTATCAGATAGGCAGGAAGAGGGAAGGAAGGGAATCACACATTCCCTGCCTGACCCCTCACCTTCCCACATGTGGCAAGAGGAGAAAGCACTGGACCAGGAGTCCCCAAGCAACAATTTTACATCCCAACTGCTGTCACTAGCTGTGTGACTTCACGCTACTGACCTCACCTCTCTGAGCCTCAGGATCCTCTTTTTGGAGCCTAATCCTTGTGGGTAATTCAGGCTGGCGTGTGGATTGGGAGTGTGGCAGCTTTGGAACCTGGGACATTATGCCAGTTTGGGTCCTTCTATTTAACTCATTTGGGCTGTTGGGACTGGCCAGAGGAGCCGTTTGGGGATTACAGGCAAGCTAGGGCAGCTGGGTACGGCCCAGGCAGTGAAGTTTCCGAGCCCTGAGGGCTGGACCCATGGTTGGTGGGGAGAGAGCAGGGTGAGGCCAAGGCAAGTCATGTGAGGAGGGCCGGAAGGGGTCCCTCACCCCATGGTGGGAAATAGAACTGGAGTGCCCAGGGCAAGGGGACGGAAGTCAGTGCCTGCTGGAGCACTGCCCCAGAGAAGCTGCTGGAATCATCTGGGTAGGAGGAAAGGGCAATTTAGGAAGCATCCCAGAGTCAGACCCAGAGGGGCTCTGACTCCTGGAGACTTAGACACCGGAGCAGGGGCTCAGGGCAGTCACACCTCAGACCCCAGTGGCTTCCTCGGACCCAGGACCACACAGCACCCAGGATTCTAGGAGCAGAACCGTTTGGCATGGAGATCCAGGGAGTGCGGGCTCCAGGCTGCTACTGTGAGGACCCCAACCCGGCCAGCCCCCAACTCTCCCAGAGGAGCAGCTGAGCTTTGTGATGTGAGGAAGGGCTCCCCATCCACTCCCGCCCTCCCCCACCCTCCAATCGGGGTGCCTCACTGCCACCCAAGGGCTTCGCACGAATGGGACTCCGCCACTTCCTGGCAGCCCCCAGCCCATCATGGAAGGTAGGAAGAAGGAAGGGAAGGGGCTGGACAAAGGAAGTGAGGGCTGCCCTCGGACTCGGAGTGAAAGAGGCAGAATCAAAGTTTTGAGAGCTTTGCTCAGGCTGTGACCCCCTGAGACACTCTTCCTATCGTTGCTGGTTGAGACAAAGCCTCTAACCTGAGGCATCCTCCCCAGCTTGGGCCCTTCCCTCCTCCCGGCTCCTCTGCACCTCCACAGAGCCCCTCTTCCAAGGGCTCGGGGTCACGCCTACCCCTCCCAGCTCTGCCACTACTAGCTGTGTGACCTTGAGCGAGTCACTTCACCTCTCTGGGCCTCAGTTTCCTCATCTGTAAAAGGGAGCAAGTAAGCATTTCCACTTTCCAGGGCTGTGGTGCTGTACAAATAAAACAACGCAACTGTTCCGCACGAGAACAGGCCCACACTCGAGGCACAAGAGACGGTGGCTATTTTATGACTGTTCACTCATCTCGTGCAAAATCACCCCCCGGGCACCCACAGTGTGCTGAGCAACAGGTGATGGGGGACCCAGAAATGTGGCAGGCCCAAGAGCAGCCCTCAAGGAGTTCCCAGTTTGAGGGGAGGGAGATACAAACAGCCAGAACCATAAGAGAACTGGAGCGGCATTGGGACTCAGACAGAAGGGGGTGGGGGGAGCTGGGAAAGCCCCCTCCCTCCGGGAGAGCAGCTTAAGGAAGGGAGAGAGCTGCTGCCCAAGTTCCAATCCTGGCTTTGCTACTTGGTAGCTGTGTGACCTTGGACAAAGGTCTTCACATCTCTGAGCCTCAGTTTCCTCATTTGCAAAATGGAGATGGCCCCTCCCCCATCACTACAGCCCTGGTGGGAGGGCAGAGCAAATACAAGGACATGGGTAAAAATGCCTGCTACCTCTTTTCCCCTTTGCCTCACAAAGGGGGCAGTTCTGAACTGGATCTTGAGGGATGAATAGGAGTTTGCCAGACAGAGATGGGAGAAAGGGTGCTTTAGGCAGCGAGAACGACATGCACAAAGGGCAGGGAGGCATGAAGAAGCAAGAAATGCTTGGAGATGGTGGAGACGTCCAACCTCCTTAGCCAGGCCTTCGAGGATGCTCATGGATCGATTCTACTCCACCCTCTAGAACCTTCTCGCCCATCTGCAGCCCTGAAGGCCACCAGCCCCCTCCAGCGCTGCACCCTCCCACGAGCTGCCTTTCTGTGACGGGGACCGCCTTCTTCCACTCCCTCCATCGCCTCGACTTCACTGTGCTTCCTGCAGGGTCCTGCTTGAAACTCCCAGCCCCTGTGGTCGCCATCAGAGGCGGGGCACACAGCAGGGGCCCTAAGGCCTGAGCTGACCCCGGCCCCGCCCTCTGCCTGCCACTTGGCCTGGACTGGGGCTGCATCCCGGCCACACCCTGGCTCCAGGAGGGCATGGTCTTCTCCATCCAGGCCTCACTGGGCCCAGCACTGGACCCTGCATGCAGCTGGCACTCAGTGTGGGCTGAACAGGGAGGGGAGGGGTTAGCATGAGGTGGACGGGGAGTGACGGGGGTGATGGGGGGACCCTCCCCATTCGCAGCCTGGGATTAAGGTAGGGATCTGGTCAAACTATTGGGGGTGAGGACAGAACCTGGGGAAGCGCAACCAAGGGAGCCAAAGACCATATGAAGCACATGCCGGCGGCAGCCCACCCCCACCAGTGAAGCGCCCCTACCCAGCCCGCCGCCCACGGAGTGTGTACACACCTGACATCCACCTTCCTCCTAGGGCCAGCGAGAGAGAAGCAGAGAGGGAGAAGCTGAGAGAGAGCTGGAGGGAGGAAGCACGGGCCAGGAATGGGGAGGGGGTTCCCCGAGGCTGTTCGGGGGGGATGGGAGGTGGCGGAGAGGGGACGCAGGCCCTCCGAAGGCAGGAATGACG